CGCAGTAATTAGGGGTTTATTAGGGCAAAAGTCGTAGTTAATAGTTAGTTGTTGTTGTTGATACTTTATTGATCCTTTACAGGAAACTACATTGTCACGGCAGTCATTTCCGACTTTGTACCAATCTACAACATAAAATAATAAATAATAAATAATATATAAAAATTAACAAGAAATAAGAAATGATCGCTAACGTACTAATATAAAAATGTGCAAATGATGATATAAGTGCAAAACTAGACTGTCTCAAATGTATATACCAGTGATGATTCATAAGCCCATTAAACAATCTGATAGCCGCCGATAGGAAGGATTAGATGTCGAATGACCTCAGACTCCTTAAGAAATAAAGTTGGCTTTGACCCTTCTTGTACACTGTCTCCATGTGGCTTTGCCAGTACAGGTTGTTGTTGAGCTGCACACCAAGGTATCTTTGGCTGGAGACCATCTCCACCTCGATGCCCTGGATGGTAATCGGAATCGATTGTGTCCTCTTCCTCCTAAAATCTCCTTGGTTTTGAGATGTTAAGGTGGAGATGGTTGTGGTCGCTCCAGAGCACAAAGTCCTTAATTGTTCTCCTGTACTACTCCTCCTCCTCGCCTCCCTTAATTAGGCCGACGACTACCGTATCGTCAGAAAATTTCTACTACTGTCAGCAACTGTCAGTATTGAACTGGAAGTCCGCTGTACAGATGGTAAACAGAAACGGGGCCAGAGCGGTTTCTTGCAGCGCCCCTGTATTACTCAGGATAGTATTGGAGACACTATTCTGCATATGCACATACTACCTTACTAACTGTACTGCATACAACTACCTTACTACCTTACTAAGGTAGTCTGCGGGATATATAGATCATACATTTATCAAAGTCAAAGAATGTGAATCTCACAGATTGTCCAGGTGTGCGCATGGGTCCTTTGTAGCATATTAATGAGGGCGTCATACACCCATGTTGGGCTGATATAAAAACTGTAGATGATCCATGTGAGTTGACATGTTAGCCTTTGATGTAAGAGAGGACCTGTCTCTCAAACGTCTTCATGATATGTCAGGTGAGCGCTACAGGTAAGCGCTACAGGTAATCGTTGTGGTAGGTGGGGTGTCTCTTCTTGGGAACAGGGATCAAGCAAGATGTTTTCCACAGCCCATGGGTCTCATTTATAAAACTGTGTGTAGAATCCTGACTAAAAGTGTACGTGCGCCCTAAAGACAAAAATGGCGTACGGCAAAAAATATTCAGACTTATAAAACCGTGCATACGCCAGAACCAGCGCAAAATTCCCTTTATAAATCCCAGTCAGCTGAAGATTGTGCACACATGCGTCTCCACCCCATCCCCTCCCTGAAATAACCATATATGGAGCTTACAACGCCTAGTTTTGTTTGTTGACAAACAAAACAGTTTGTTGAGGGTTGGTTTTTTAGGGAAGGACTACATGCCTGCGCACATATATTCAAACGCGTATACCTATAGAATGAACTCTCAATACGCATGTGCACGCCATCAGCATTCTCACAGGTTCGCGTTTTTAAAGTTTGCGTAGAGAGAACTTAAGAGTTTTCTGTTAAAACGGTGTCGTGTTAGCGGCCCCTACGTTAATAACTAATGATCGTTGCGACGGAAGTGAATCAATCAAAACTAACTTTAACTGGAAAATAACTTTATTCTAGAGCTGCCATTAAGCAAAAACAATCTGTTACTTTAATTTCCTATTATCACTGTAAAGCCGCTTTGGAACAATCTACATTTATAAAAGCGCCATATGAGCGCCACCTTGACTAGTTTTACTATGCATATCCTGATCTGCATATCATTTGCATATGCATATTCATCCACGTGATACCATGTTTAAGGCTACAAGACATTAGGAAAATATGAGATACAGATGTGCTGTCACATTACATTGCTAAAAATCATTTAGTAGCCTATCCTTGCTTTGTTTTGAATAAATAAATCAAATAGTATAAAATACTTTTCAGAGAAAGTTTTTCTCAATCTTTTCCACTGGCCAAATAGTACTTTTAATTGCTTTATAGTTTTAATGGAAACAGATAGGCCTTATTGTGCATTATTGATAATTATTTGCACCAAAATATTTTATAAATTATTTATATTTCATATATATTTCATATATTTATACTAGATATGTATATCAGATGTAAAACATGTTTTTCACAGATTGTGAACATGCACTGTATTTTTGATTAGGACTCATAATGAAGATTTAAAGTGGTTTTCCTTCATCTGCCGTCAGTCCCTCAGCTCACCATCGGTGTCGCCAAACTGCTCCGTCTCCAAAATGTTCGTACGCATAGGTTAGAGTTTGAGTGCAGGTGCGCTAATTTTCCCTTCAAGTTTGTTTTTATAAATCACAACTTATGCGTTGGAAGTGGTGTACGCCACTTAAAGGTGCAGTGTGTGATTTTTAGCGGCATCTAGCGGTTCGGTTGCGAGTTGCACTAAGGGCTCAGCCCACTGATCACCCCTCCCTTTCGAAGAAGCTACGGTGGCTAAAACAGGACAAACATATCGTCGTCTGAGACAGCAGAGAATAGCCAGAGTAAGCCAAGAGTGTGTAACATTGTCACTGTTTCTGTACCACAGTCCATTATAAACCACATCATGGATAAAGTTTACAAAGTCATAGTCAGGTGAGGATCAAGGGTCTTAATATATAATATAATAATAGTAATCAGCTGATTGTCTCACAAACGTAACCAGCATATTTCTCCCCACATAGCATAGCAAACCCATAATACAGCGAGGGACAAGAACCACATGAAACTATGCAATTATATTTTTTCTAACAGGGTAGTAAAAGTTTAGCTGGCTAATATGAGCTGTTAGTACTGTGGCTGAGCTGGTTAAAGCATAAAGCCTTGTTTAAACTCGACGCGTCCGCATGAGCCCAAAGGTGCGCGCTGCAAAAATGACATGATTGTAACAGCGCGCACGCCTCCGCAACACCATTTGCTACACACAATAGGCTTTTTTTCTCTGATTTTGAAAACTCTTCGCGATCGACTTAAAATGCTTCCAAGATCGACTTGTCGACTGCGATCGACGGGTTGGTGATTCCTGTAACATACTGTTTTACGGTCAATGACAAGAGTACTAATCAGCTGTCTCACGAACGTAACCAGCACATTTATCCCCACATAGCAAAGCCATAACACAGCGAGGGAGAAGAACTAAGTTACATGAAACAATCCAACTACATATTTTACACCACTGACAAGGGAAAAGTCACTACTCACTGTGTCTATGGTGGCTAGCTTCTAGCTTTCTGCTGCTTCTCTTTCAAGGTAGTGACGAAACGCGCTCTGTAGCGCTGTTTGTTCGCTGTCGGCTATGGTAGAAACATGGCGACACAATATGTCGACCTTCATAGAAGGGGGTGCCCGCGGTTATGTAGATATAAATGTCTCATTCTAAGGTAATAAAAACATTACGGTTTATTAAGTAAGTTCTTTATACACCACTGAAAACATAGTTATGGATGTCATATTGCATTTCTGTTAATAGATACTCAAAATTATTACACATTGCACCTTTAAGTTTAAGTGGCATACGCAATGTAAATTTAGACTTCAATTTGTACAATATAGACCAATATGTTAAAATGCATGACGGCAGATAGATTAATTCACTAATATCTTTGTATTTCACTTATATCTTTGCATCGATTGGACACATCAAAATTCTTTTGATAACTTTTGATTTGTGCAAAGATGTCTGCTCAAGGTCGGACAAAGAGTCTTTGAAAAGTATTTTTTCAGAAAACCTAAAATAGCTATAAAATGTATAGACAAAATAGATAGGGTTCCATGATTAGAATTCAAAAAATGTTTCTGTGTGACTGAGTAGTGATGCAGGGACCATCCTGCCAAGATTGGAGTGTCTTTGATTTACTGTCTCTGACACCCTTTTAAAGCAGATAGACAAAGTTTATCCGCATCTTTCATGTGTGTTACTTCAGCACAAATAACAAGCAGGTAAGCAGGCTTGTTGTTTGTGCTCAGGAACCTAAGATGAGGAGTCTGTAGCAGCACTGTCTCGTTTGCTGGACTCGGGGCCCGTTTTCTGTGGTCATCCTGTGCTAATTTCCTCTCTGTGGTCTCTGTCTGTGTGCGGAGTGCATGAGAACCACCATACTGAGAATTTATTTTGTGTTACAAAGTGTACTAATAAACTTTTCACGTTTGTCACCGCTATTGAGTCCTCCATTTATCTGAGTTACCTGACACAAAGAAGAAGAACATCAGTGCAAACACAACTTGGCTCCAGGATCTTTTGAGCTTGGACCCATAAATATATAAATAAATCTTAAATATATGCCTCTATTATTTTAAAATGATGATTGGTTTGAAAAAGTATGTATTTTTCTAAAAATATGTCACCCTTCTAAACTGGTTTTATAAGGTTTTTAGCCAGACCAAGGATATAATTTATGGTCCCACTTTTGCTGATGATCCAGTTTTATCTGTTAAAAAAAGTATTAATTTTGTATTCATCATATACAGTATAAATATATCAAATATTTGTACTGTATATTTACATTCATTTGGGTTCTTGCATCTGAACAGCCGTGTGCACCACCACAAATATGCTAAAAATGAAAGGGATAGTTCATACAAAAATAAAAATTCTATCATAATTTACTTACCCTCAAGTTGTTCCAAATCTGTATGAATTTATTTATTCTGCTGAACACAAAAGAAGATATTTTGAAGAATGTCAGTAACCAAACAGTTGATGGGCCCCATTGACTTCCATAGAATGGCGAAAAAAATACTATGGAAGTCAGTGGGGCTGTTTTGTTACTGAAATTCTTCACAATATCTTCTTTTGTGTTCAGCAGAAGAAAGAAATTCACAGTTTTGGAAGAACTTGAGGGTGAGTAAATGATGGCAGAATTTAAATCTTTGAGTGCACTATCCCTTTAAACTAACCACTGTTCTTGAACAGTATTATCTAAAGTGTTCCCTGTCTTTCAGCCTGACATCCTGGCCATGGCTCACATGCACAGGCGTACTCCCTCTCCAGCTCTCATTTTCAACACAATAATTTCTCTTATTGTTCTCATTCCGGGAGACTTCCAGGCCATAGTCAACTTCTTCAGGTATAGTGCCTGATTTTGCATAACATCATATTACCCATAAATACAGATGATTCAACATAGAAATAGCAGTTGGTATGAATGAATAGCTAAACCTCGTTGTCCTACCGCTCTGTATCTGCGGCCTGATGGGAGGACAACAAACTCTTTGTGCATCAAAGTTTAATTTATTAACCACTGTACCCAGATATCTATTCATCCACAAGATTAGTGTCCTTTCATGAATGACAGAAAAGAAAGGGAGTAGGAATGGCAGACTTTCCAAAGTCTAAAATCATGACTTTGGTCCTTGCTATGTTTAAATTTAGACTACAGTTTGCACAACAAGAAACAAAATCCTCCACCACATGCCTATGAGATGTCTCCTCATTTGCTAGGAGGCTCACAATAACTGTATCATCTGAAAACTTCAGAATATAACTCTTGCAGGCACTCCTGCAGTTATTAGTGTAAAATAAAAAACAGAGGGTAAAGAACACACCCTTAGGGGAACCTGTAGAGGAACTTAACTTGGAAGATAGCAAACCATTGACTCTCACACACTCCTCACACAGTCCTGTTCGATAAAAAAAAAAGAACTGTCCATCCTACCAAATTAAGATCCAGGTTAAATAGTTCTACAAGCTTTTCAGCTGACACATGTGGTACGCAAACTGAAATCGGTCTAACATATCTTCTACATGCTTCAATATCTCTATATCACAATTTTCTTAAATGTTTTAATTACCAGAGAAGTGAGGACTACTGGTCAAAAATAATTTAAAACCTTTTGGGTCCTGCATTTCACAATGATCTCAACACCTTACCACTAATGTTATCTGATCAAGGACATTAATTTGCTTTTATCCTTTAAAAAAAAACTAGCCCCCGTAGAAACATCAATATAAAACATCATATTACTTTGCAAAGAATCATACTTTACAATACACATTAGAAGTATAGCCCTTTGAGGATACCATATTCCTATTTCTTTCCTGTAAAACTGTATTAATTTCATTCCATCCCTCACCACCCTGTGATCAGAATTTAAAACATTTATATTGCTATTTATGTTTTGTCTTTGCAATAGCTGCTCTTACTTCATGATAAGAGAATAAGCAACTTTATCACCACTTTTAAAAATAACTTTTTTTCTCCTCTTTTTTTAACTCCTTCCCCTCGCGCCAGAGTTTTTGAAAAAAGTTGCCAGCCAGCACCAGTATTTTTTTATCATTTTCACAAAAGTTTCATTGACCCTAGAATATTTTGTTGTTTGAATATCTGACCATGCAATATATCAAAAGAAAGAACAGGCCCTCTGCTTTAAACAAACAAACAAACAAACAAACTAAATTTTATTCTAGCTTCATGCATTTTTATCAGCACTTGAATGTGGGTAAGTTTCATAAAAAAGCAACATTTTGAGCAAAAGCTTGCAGTGCCACTTGTATGGATTCGTAGCATAAATCAAGAGTCTTATTTCCATGAGTGTGACAGGTGATGTACTGATGAAAATGTCTTAGTGTTTTGTTGCAATTACTCACCCATAACAAAAAAATGGGGCATCGGGTGAGATATACAGAAGTCTTTGTAGCAGAGAGAACAACACCTCATTTGGATTTTTAGTATTAAGCTTAGGGTGAATATACACAACTGTCAGGAATACTTGAGGAAATTCCCTAGGCAACTAATATGGTCTCATAGAAATTGTCAATAACTCAGTCTCCGGTAAGCAAATTTCTCCCTTACAGTTACATTATTACACCATCGTCGGTTATTATGAAATCATACTTCACCTCCCTGTCACCATTGTTAATTTTGGCACCCATTTTTGATTTAGTCTTAGCATCTTCAGACGAAAATGCTTATTGGTCTTATTTACATTTCAGTCACTTTGTCTTTCATAGTTTTAGTCTAGTTTTAGTTGACGAAAAGTCATTGCATTTTTTGTCAACTTTTAGTCCTTACTCATTACTTTTAGTCAAACTGTAGTTACCGACATTCATTTTGGTAGCTATTTATATGTAGTCTTTAGACAAAAAATTTCATTATAATTTTTCTCTCTAGGCCAATTCAATTAAGCTTATGAGAAATTGAAATTAAGGTAACAGGCTTTATCGACATTGCACTCTAGCAGTAGCACTTGTGCAATTCTACATATCCCTTTTCCTTAGTTCAGTGGTTCTCCCAATTTTTTAGAGTGCCGTACCCCCTCTCTTCCACTTCTGCAGTCACACCTGTTCCATTAAGTGACAATATTTGCCCCCTTTATTCTTTCCAGTTAATTTTTTTTTTACGTTTATAATACCTTTATAAAATAAATAATGCTTTAAATAAAACAATGTTCAATAAATATGCAATGATGGTAAAAACAAACTGATACTTTTAAATATTAAATTAAAATCGCCGGTAGGTGGCGGTAAGTCACTGTCTTTATGAGTGAGTCATTGAGTCTTTCATTCATTCAGTAACGAAGCAAGTTGCTGTATTTATGAACGGATCATTGAATTTCGTTCAAAGCCTCAGATTCGTTCACAAATGTAGTACATCACTTATTGTTACCCTTTTGTTTGTTGAACTGTTGTGTAAAATCAATGTCACATTTGAAATCGTGTGGATATTCAGGAAACATTGCATTCTTGCTCGTATGATCAACATTAAAAACACTGCTGGATATCAGCCTGCATTTTGATCGCAGATTTAGTCGCACAAACAGCGCAAGCGGCTCCTGACAGAACACAGACCGACTGAATGACCCTTTAAGTAGAAAATCTCAAATGAAGATCGCTGAACTCCAGCTTAATCGTCTGTTTTTTCCGATCATCCGCACTTCTTCAGCAGTGTAGAGAGAGGGTGTGCGCATGGTTGCCAGATACTATATTGAAAAGACCGGGTAAAAAAATTGTTTTTTTAACAGAAAAGCTCTAACTGGGGTTCCCTATCGGTCAGTCACTACAACGTAGGTCAGACTGACCAATAGGAATCTCGCTAGAGAGGCCAATCTACTTCGAGTGAAACTAAACAAGCCAATGCACATTGGCGTGCAATCATTTGCATCAGCTGTGCAGCCTCGCAGCGCGGGTATTTAACAAGCAGCTGTTTGATTGCACACTAGCTTTTTGCTTCGGAGCCAAACGCTTCATGCTTGACTACAAGAGTGTGACTACGAGCCTCTTCTTTGGACCTCTCCTTCCCGGTGCGGGCGTTACAGCACGGCAGCGCGAGCAGTCTTCTTTTTCTCTCTCCTGTCTGTGGTGTGTTGAGCAAAACCAAAAAGCTGTTGTAACAGCTGGTAAGGTGCGCCGTACGAGCGCTCAAAAGCTGTTTTCACTGCTGGTAAGACAGTGAGAGAGAGAGAGAGAGATCGCGCACAGACAGGTGCACATTCCTGTCTGTGTTCGCAGTGACTGTTCCCCTGCGTGTTTCAGCACCAGTGAGAGCAGTCCCTAAAAGAGCTTACACAAATAGAGAGCGTCTTTTAAAAAGAAAAAGATGACTTTCTATTTGTGTGTTTCTGGATGCGGTCGTTACCTGGGCTCACAGGATGGTCACAAACGCTGCCTCGTGTGTCTGGGCATTGAACACGCTGAGGCAGCGTTTGTGGATGAGTCATGTACCCATTGTGGGAAGATGACCATCGCGGAGCTACGGTCGAGACTCCTGTTCCTGCAAAGGGGCGGAGTCCCCGTGCCTCTGCCTCGTTCCAATCCTCCCCAGAGGGTTGCTTCGGGCGGGGGCGCGGGTGACCTGAGGATCACGGTGAGCGCGTCTCCTTCGGGGAACCAACCCCCTAGGAGCCCTCACCCCTCTCATGCTCCGCAGCCAGTTGAGCTTCCATTGGAGAAAGCTGGACCATCCTCGAGGTGTGTACCGGTTGTCTCCTTTGGGGCTCCCAGTGACCAGATGTCGATCGCTGCATCGGAGGTTGGGTCAGACCTCTCTGCGGACGACGACTCGGCACCGCTGCCTATTTCGGGGTTGCCAGCGGTGCCTGAGACGGCCCCGGAGATGATGGCCATGCTCTCCCGGGTTGCCAACGGGGTCGGGCTCGTGTGGAATCCTCCACCGTGTCCCGAACCCTCGAGGTTGGATGATTGGTATCTCGGGGTGGCGCGCACTGGTTCTCAGCAACCCACCCCAGTGCCTTTCTTCCCGGAAGTGCATGAGGAGCTTACGGGAACGTGGACGGCACCTTTTACTGCCAGAAACTGTTCCGGTGGCTCCTCCTCCCTCACCACCCTTGATGGCGGGGCAGCTAAGGGATACACGCGCATCCCGCCAGTGGAACGGGCCGTTGCTATGCAACTGTGCCCTAACTCCACTTGGCGTGGAGAACCGTGTCTCTCTTCCCTGGCCTGTAAGTACTCGTCGGATTTAACCGGCAAGGCTTACAAGGCCTGTGGGGAAGCTGCCTCTGCCATGCACGCCATGGCGTTGCTGCAGGTCCATCAGGCCAAGGCACTGAAGGACCTGCACGAGGGTGGTCACGATCCCCAAGTTCTTCAGGAACTTCGCATCGCGACGGACCTCGCGCTTCGTGCGACGAAGGTGACCGCGCGGTCGGTGGGTCGTGCGATGTCCACCATGGTGGTCCAGGAACGCCATCTCTGGCTGTGTCTGGCTGACATGAGGGAGTCTGACAAACTCCGGTTTCTCAACTCCCCTGTGTCCCAGACCGGCCTCTTCGGCGACGCGGTTGAGAACTTCGCCCAGCAGTTCTCGGCTGTACAAAAGCAGACGGAGGCCATCAAACACATCCTGCCGCGGCGGCCAGCTGCTGCCTCCACCCCGCCGCCCGCGGCACCTCAGTCTGCTCGTCGCCGAGGGCGTCCTCCTGCGTCTGCCCCTGCTCCCGTGCCGCAGCAGCAGCCTCCACCTAAGCGGCGCCGTGGAGCCAGTCGCAGGCAGGGCGCCCCGCCTGTCCAGGCCCCCACCAAGAGGGGCGGCAAAGCCAGGGGTAAGCGGCCCTAGGACGGGCGACCCGGAGATGGAAGGGACTGCTCTCCAGGAGACGATGACCGCAT